CCGTGACTGGGGATTTGAGGTGAGCTCCCAAAACTGTCTGTGAAGTTCCCTTTCTCCTTGGTATGTGGGGAAAGCAGGTCATGAGCCAGAGGCCATGGAGAATTCAAGATTCACTGACTCAGGAGGAGTAAGAGTACGTGACTGCTCTATCCAGCAGTTATAGCACTTACCTAGGAGTAAGGATAACCAGTGAAAAATGTGTCCATCCCCCCCCCACACTCACACTCTCATCCAACTGCTTTATCTTCCTTCAGAACATTAGAAACAAGTGCCTTTTTTAATGGGGGAAAAGCTTGTCAACAAAAGAAGCATTACATTGCTTATTTTAATGAATTACAGACGTGGTCAGAAATTACTCCATTTTGTTTTCATGGAGAAATACAAATCAATCCTAGGCTTCATACAGACACTATTTGCTGTGTACAGAGGCTATTTGTTCATTTTAAAAAAGGCATAATAATAACACCTTATTAAAAAAAAGTGCAACCCTCAGAAAGTAGTCTTACCTCAGAAACAAGAAATAGTAAGCAAAGAGACATCAGAAAAATGAAAACTATCATACCTTTCTTAAGATACCCCTTATAAAAATTTAAATAATATATATTATCATGAACTATCTGTTAAAATATTAAAATTTTCAACCCAGATTACTAATTTCCTATGAGCATGTTGAGTGCTACAAATTTCATTTTTGATACCACATAAGCTTTTAATTCATTTAATTTCCTGTCTGCAGAGTCCTGTAACCTTGAATTAAATGTGGCATATGCTCCAGGGAGTAAGAAATAGCTTGATTGTGAGCAAGAGAGCTGCAAACTCAGGAGGATGCTGCCTGTTGTAGTCATACACCAAACTTGTCTCTTGGAGTTCACCTGTGTGGGTTTGGAAAAAGGAAGAAATGACAACCTGAATTTAGGATAATCAGTAACTGGAAGAATAAGGGGCTGAAATTGTGAGGAATTTCTGATCAAAACTTGTATTCTGACTTCTACCCAAGGTCCTCCCTTGAAGTTTCCCCATTCAGCTGCAGTTCTGTGTTTCTTTGCAGTTAGCATGAGCTATTCCAATTTCTAAAGGGTTTTCTCATGAAAATGTCTGAGGCTTGCATCCATCCTAGAGACATAATTTACTTTTAAGTCAGTGTAGAGCAGTAAAATGACCTAAAGAAATCCAATTGTTTGCCCAAGCTGGACTGCAAGTTAATGAAGGAGCTGGGAAAGAACCCAAGGCTCTGGATTTCTTCTGTGCTCCTCGTTTAGGTCTGCATTGTCAATGCTGTCAGGTTTTAAAACAGGGGAGAGGAAACCATAGGCCAAATTGAGCTATGATGTAAATGGTTAAAATGAATTTGCATAGTCTGGTGGAGTGGGGTAAGTGATGGTTTAGTGATCAAACCTTTAAAATTGGAGGGGATATGCTAGGGAGAAGTTTATCCCAGCTATTATTCTTTCCGGTACAGTATATAGCTGGAAAATCTGTAGTCCCATGAATGAAAGCCTGCGCTGGCACCCACCCTAGCTAGGGGTGGAGGTGGAACAAAAGGAAACTCCACGTTTTATGTATTAGGAGAGCCACTACAAAGGCAGAAAAATATTTTGACTCTGACTAAGTAAGGTCTCTGCACTGTGCAAATGATCTCCCAGGAATTACAAGCTATGCTAGGGAAATTCGGGAATAACCCTGAGAGGGTCATTGCTCCTTTTTCAGGCTAATAATTTCCAAATTCTTTCATTTACCTTTTCACCTTTATCTAAAGGTCAGCAGAGGTAACATGTTTGTGAAGCTGTCCTATAAAAATACTTCATTTTTAATGGCTCGTTTTCTTCTCTTTAACACAGTATACTAGCTGGAAACATCTAGTCATACGTTGGATAAAACTCCACTTTATATTCTCAAAGCTCTGATCTTATTCTTTGCAATTTTTAAAGCTATTCTGGATAAGATTCTACACTGGTTAGAATCAAAACTCTTTTTAAAATTAAAAAGAACAGGCTTCAAGCATACAAATCAATCTTTTTTTTATTTATTTATTTTTTATTTATTTATTTATTTAATATTCAAATTGCATCTAGCAAAGAGCTACGACCTGATGGATGGAGAATGAAATTCATAATCTTGAATGGCCTAACTCTTTGGGACTCTTTTTTGATGATCTAAATCTTTAAGAAATCTGCTGCTTGTCTGCTTTGGAAACTTTGTAGTCCAGCTCTGGAAAAATGCTGTTGGTTATGGATGGCTTTTCTGTTGTTGTTTTGTAGGGGTTTTTCTTTTTGGTGTGTGTATGTTTACTGGAGACACATAAATGGAGACTTATTTGCTTGTAATTTGTAGCAGGTGCATGATTGCTCACCAGAAGTATGTTTAAAAGAACAAACAAGGACATGACTTAACTATCAGTTATTCAATATACCTATTACGCATTCAGCCAAGTTCATCTTTTCTTGCCTTGTTTTTCCATTTTTTTAATATTTTTTTTCTTAACTATATTGTTGTGCTGGGCAAAGGACACTGGAGTTCCTGAGCATCACACCCTCTGCTGTCTACTTTTAGCCAAGGATCATCCCCTCCCTGTCAAAAGCTGCAGCAGTATCCATCTAATACGGACGCACCATTGCCTAGTGGTTAGGTTAGGTTCGGTTCATGACAAACCTATTCGCAGCATAGGGTCATGACTCCTTTTATTCTTGTTACTCCTTGATATTATTTGAACAACTGCATCTCAGTTTTCCCATAATAAATATTTCCATTGTCTGAGGGTGTTACAGATTTGAAGTATTTGTGAAAGAAAATGTATCCTAAACTGTGAAAGAATAAGATAAATGTTAAACGTTTGTAAAGGTGGAAAGATTCATAGATTTCTTTACATATCCTATTTTTCGAGGGACTGCTGCTCTGTTTTTTTTTGGTTTTTTGTTTTTTTTTTTTTTTTTTACTAGCTGTCAGTGACATAAATATCTTCAATTCTTTACCTAAGCTGCAACTTAGTCCTGAGAGCTCCTGGAAAAGTGCTTTGATGGAGTACCAAATGCTTAGCTTCTGCAGGAGCCTCACCTAATGCACGGAGGTCATAGGTACAGTGGAGCCTTCAGGCTGGGGCCTTTTCTGGTCAAAGACAAATACCGGTCACGGCAAGCGTGGCTGGAGGTGGTGTAGGCACACAAGGCGGGTCCTCCTTAGACGGTGCTGGCTGTTAGCTCCATCAAAGCCTTTGCCATGATCACGACTCCAGACCTTGTGCCTTGACTCTCCTACAGTTCTGAGCACCCGGGCTGATGAAGTTACTTTCCATAGCACTAGGGAATAACCTCTGAAAATGTCAAGCTGTCACTTTCTCTGGTTAGCAAGCTCGTTAGAGGACTGCTGCAGTGTGTGTTACTCAGATATCCTGGCTGGCAGGATATCTGTCATGCCTCTGCTCTCTGGTTGAACTTTAGGAAGAACATTCATCAAAATTATTTACTAGCCAAAGGAGCAGTGCATGAGCTAGAAGGGAGCTTGAAGCCAGCTTTCAGTTAAAGACAAGGGTAAATAGGAAATCTTTTCAAGAGGTGAAAAAAAAAAAAATCCCATCTGCCAGACGTCACACTATTGATTATTATTTAACTCTGAAATCCATCCCACTGTTCTGTGACTGACAACGCCACCAGAATTAGGCTCGACAAGATGAAATGAGGCATAGTTTATAGTGCCTGCCTAGCTGGCTGGCTGTCTAGGGGAAGGAACACTTCTGAGCAGCACCTGGTTGAGTATGGCAATGCTTGTTTTATTACTGCAGCTACAAAATGGCAGCCTCACCGCTCCATCCCATGTGGGATCCCAGCCTTACATTTAGGGATTTTTTTTTCCTCTAAAGGTGGAGGATATTTTCTACACATACTAAGGCTGTAAAGGCAGGATGTTTGCTGTCCACTGTTACTTATTGTCTGGCAGCATCAAGTGGAAAATACTAATAATATTAGAGACTGCAAAATTTTAATGTTTTAATAGGCCTTAACCTTTTGCGGTGTGACACCCTTTTCATACTTTGATCTGTTTTCAAACAGCAAAGGCCAATTTTTCCCCTATTATGTTTTGTAAGTTACTACAGCTATGGGGCCTTATTTATTTATTTATTACTCCCATTTCTAACAGGTCTTACAGACTACAGCCTATAATCCAAATTTAGATCCCCCAAAACTGATCTAATTTACCTTCTGGTTGCCACAGCGACTATAGAACTTGACATTAATAAGGTTAAGGAAGGAATTCCATTGCCTGAAGTGTTCGTTCAAGAACTGGGGAAACCTTTCTAATAACAGAAATGTGTGATTGCCAACTGGTGGCCATAAAGCTGAAGGGTAGGCATTTAGAGAGGAACAGAACAGGCTGGACGGGGCAGAAATGAAGAGCAGGTCTGAAATGCTGGACGATGGAGTAGGGAAGGAGGAGACAAAGTAAAACAAAACAGAAGGGAAGTGGGAGCTCATGTTGTGCTTAACCAGATAAGAGTTATAATTAGTGCGTAATTTCTGTGCTGTTATAGAAATGGGAATAGGAGACATTCCACTAGGCCCTCTTCAGGGAGTAAAGCAAACCTAGGGGAGGAAAAAAAGGAAAAAGAAAGACTTGGGGAAAGTTCCTAAGTATGCCAAAGCCTTTTCGTTTTCTTCAGGCTGAACAAATTTTACCTAGACAAGTCTTCTACTTTTCATCTCTTCCATTGTCTTTCCCCCTCCTAGAACTGCAGTTTTGACAGAAGAGACAAGGCTGCAGTACCTTTCATAATGTTTTATGGACTTGCAGTTTCATTTGAAACTAATTGACAGCTCAGCAGTCTAGTCTGTCTTCAAATATTCTGTAGCTGATTTCCCATCAGGAAAATTGCTAATTGTTTAATAGGGACTTAATTCCCAGCAAGGAATATTACAATAATATTGCAATCTTTTGTGCGTAACGCAGTCCTTAGAATTCCATGTGTGGGTGAATTGCCTTTTTTTTTTTTTTTTTTTTTTTTTTTCCAGAAAGATTTTGGTGTCAGCTGAAGAACCCAGAGTGGTGGAGACTTGGAGATGTTCCTCAGCAACCTGTTTTCAGTGTTCAAAATTTCTATCTTGTTTCCAGTTTGAATACAGCTGACTTCCAGAGTTTGGATCTTGATATGTCTTTGCTAAGTGAAAGCCTTCTTATCTTTTTCTTATGGAGATAATTCTTGGAATACTGTGTATACTGTGTTGAAATAATTTCTTTTTTTTTTTCTGTGATAAACTGGATAGATTGGGTTGTTTATCATGTATATTTCCCTGAAGTTTTTCTCTTTAGTTAATGAAACTCCTTTTTGACTGTGGACACAGGACCAGCTTCTTGCACGTAGCAGCAGTGGACAGAGTCCTAGCCCACGCATTAGAGCAGCGCCAAATTCTCTTTCCTCTTAAGAGCAGCCTGCTTCGAAAGGCAAAACAGCAATAAATAAGTTATGATTGTGCGTCTGGAGAAACCGAAATTTCACCATAATGTGGCGACAGAGAGGAATGTTTGAACCTGTTTCTGTGAGTGACAGAATTATGTCGATAGCTTGCTCCAGAGCGCGGTGAGCCCTCCTACCAGCTGCGTTACCGGCCGCGGCCAGGCCCAGCGAGAGCCCCAGGGGAGATCATCAACCAGTCAGATCTCTGTGGAAAATTCAAGGGTCACGTTCAGTCTAGACCAAAGGAAAACTGTTGGGAAACATAAGTGGCTGCAAATATATTCAAGTACTGTTATAAAGAGGACAGGGACCAATTATTTTGATTGAGCAATGAGGCCAGAACAGAGAAAACTTAGGAAAAACTGCCTAAGTCTAGGAAGGGTTAGTCAACGCAGTGAGATGCCAAGGGAGGTGACCAGTCCTATCAGCCCGCATATTCAAAGCTAAGTCTGACACACATCTTTGGAGGATTGTTTAGGGATAGTGAAATCATTCCTGCTAAGAAGGAGGACGATGGACTGGGTTGGCCCAACTGAGATTCCTTCCAAGCCTGACAGTCTTGTGGTTCGCAGTCTGCCAGCACACCCTCTTAGGCACTCAACTTCTCAAGCAACTTCTCAGAAATAAAATCTCTTAATAGTGTGTATCCATGCACACGTGTGTGCAAATGTAAGCACACGGCAGTATCTTACTGTAACTGCTTGAGATCTATTTGTGCCTTGCAGTGTTTAAGGGGCAGCTGCCTGGTTGTGGTGTGCAGAGCTCGGCTGTTTCATCTGTGCTGCTACTGGCTGTGCCGTAGAACAAAACCAAGGTAATTCTCCAAGAGCATTATGTGTTTTTCTGCAATTCCAAGTCTCTGTCTGCATGCTCCCAAGTCTTCCTACGCTTTTATAGCAGACATCACAGTAAGAAATGTAAAATGTAAGAGGTGTTGAGAGTCATTCGGCCTTACTTTTCTTAAACATCCCTGGCGTTCTCCTGAAGTCAAGTACACATCTGTTCATGCTGCGAGGTGCTGAGAAGAGTGTATTTGGGTCCACCTGATTAAGCGAGAAGGCTTCTGTTACAGGTGCATGTCTTGGAAATGAAAGCACTGTGAAAGTGGCTGTGAGCATCTACAAGACATTCTTCTTTCATCTGCTGTAGGCCATCATTCCCAGGGAACTGGTTGTACAATACTGATCTAGGACCTCGCTACAGGAATTTTGGCAGTCCCACACTTACTAAAAGGAAGGAAAGAGAACAAATTGAAGGGGGAGGAGAAGGGAAAAGAGAGAACTTTTTCTTGAAGTCAAGATCAGGTGCTAGAGTTCATTTTTGATCAGGATCGGTACATCTGGGAAGTCTTGATGTCCTATATGTACTGAGGTATTTCAGTGGTTTTATTCAGTAGCATCATAAATTTGGTAAATTTTTTAGAAGCTGGATGTCCAATAGCTTGTTCTTCAATAGATCCTTTGCAAGCCTCAGGCACGTGGCTGGGCAGAAGGTGAGTAACTGCCTTACAGGCCAGACCTTTAATTGCAAGATACTGCTGCTTCCAAGGATGTATGCTGCTTGCTTGCTGTGTTCCATTAGGAAGGGAAGTAGAACTAGCCCACTGGTTCTTCAACCAAGTCTCATGAAACTTGAGTTCAGATGGGGCAATTCATTGAACATGGGTTCAGGAGTGTTTGGCTGGCACTCAAGACCAGCATCTCTGGACTCTTGTTCCTTTCTGGTAGCAAAGCTTAGGTAGAATTCAAACCATGATTGTTGGGAGTCGAGGAGGGGAAGCATCTTCTCATTATGCTTTGGTCATACAATAGTCTAGTAAATAATAAATACTGCCATTCTCATTCTCCTAAAGTGTGAGTTAAACAGCTTGAGCATAAGGAGGAAAATGTTTCCATCTTTTGCAATTAGCTCACTAGTAGCACGTTTACAGGTCTGTCAAAGCAATGCCTCTGCACAATAAATAACTTCCTCATTTCCAAGGCACTTTGTATATGTTACTTTTGTTTTCTCTCTCTGCTTTTTAAAAACAATCAATTTAGTGCAGAGATAAAAGAATAAAGGATATGCATTTGTAAACCTTGACTACTATCTGCTGTCTGAACAGGTTTAGGGCAAAGTAAAATCTGAAGCTTGGGCAGTGATTCACAGCGTTGTGTATGAGAGCTGAGTACAGTTGCATGAAGATAAGTCATTGCAAACGTTATTTGGCTATGTCGTTGTTACTGTTTGTCCTGTAAACAGTGATAAGGAATATTTATTGTAACATGAGATTTAATAAAAATAATATCTTTCATGTTATAAAACAATAATTATATTTATAGAATATAAACAATCTCGCACATTCTCATTAAATTTAGTTTTATTAAGAAATCACAACTGTTCCCTGAGTCAGTATATCTCATGCTGGTGAGCCAGAGCAAGGTCACCTGTTCTTCACTTGAGCTTCCTACCTCCATCAACTGAAAACCGTGTTCTGCTAGTGGTGGTGAGATCTCTTTAATTCAGGAGGCAAACAGTACACTAAGTATATGGTACAGAGCCATAATGGAAGTTCCATTACACTGACCGAACAGCCTGCCTTAGCTCTCCCCTCCATCCTGTTTCGCTGAGACTAAAGTGGAGGTTCAAATTTTAATACCCTGCCCCATCAAAATGGTATAAATCCCAAATAATCCCCTTTAAATCAGCTGAGTTACCCTGGTATAACCAAGCACGTGTTGCAGTTTCCCAGAAGGCAGTCTCTCTGGCATTATTGAGCTACTGTATGAATAGCTGCATAATAGAAATTAGCTTTTATTTGTTCTCTTGCTCAGCAGAGCTGTGAGAAAACAGTAAACTGGAGTGGAAATTCTGTTAAGTCATGTGATTCTTGAAGAAAAAAAAATAAATTATTGCATATAAATGTTTTCAAAACAAGGTAACAATAAGTCATACAGGGATTTATGTCCTTCTAACCCTGCTGCTACATCTATCTATACATGTACATGTATGTGCGTGTGTTTATAAAAAGTCTGAGTTCGCGTTGCTGTAGTTCTCCTCTGAAAGGCAGAGCAAACAGGTAGCTTTCTGGTGAAAATATTTAGATTATTTTTATCATGCATTATGCCAAAATGAGTCTTAAATACATTTGATTTAGCCTCTTTCCCTTTGATGCCAAAGCAGGTGTTAATCAAAGCCCAGAACCCTGACTGAGTGTGAGAGTACAGATGTCAAGCTGATGAGGTGCAGGGCACTTGAGAGGTGTGTGGAGGAGCAGCATCTAGCAGAGGCATTCTGTTTATGTTTACCCTGCTATTTAGGGTTGACCTTACAGATAGGTTCAGCCCTGTGTATGCCAGCCACCAATACTGTAAACTAAGTTCAGCCAGGCTTCATTCTAAACTTAGTTCAGAATGAAACTCAATCCTCCCCTGGTTTCGTTGCACCAGTGTTTTCCTGCAAGATGTTTGGGCTTTAAGCAGTTATAAAGCTCTTGAGCATAAGAAGTCCATGTACAGCAGTCCTATAAGACAGCCTCTGACTCCTGAACCTTTTCTGCTGCTTCCTATTTTTAAAGCACATAGAGATATGGCCAGAAGCAAAGGCACTTACACAGCATAAGGTTTAGGACTGTTCCCTGGAGTATAAAGCGAACAATTTTGGTGCAGATTGCAATATATGATGATGGCTGGACAAGGTGATATCACTGCTCAGGTTGACTAAGGACAAACAGAATTTCATCTCTGTATAAGGAAATCCTCTCCATAAAACAGTACAGAAATGTTATTTACTATATTCTCTTTATTTACTATCTTCTCCTATGCTTTGATTTTTTTTTAAAGGTGGGTTTCCTTTAAGGCAGCTCGATCAGTTATCTTTCCAGAAGTGTAGTATATGTAATCACCTACAGTTCAAATTCCTGCACGTGACAACCTGTTGTGTACAATATTTAATTTTACATCTCATGTTAAGCCTTTATTTCTTAGTTTGCCTTGAGTAGCTATTAGGATTTAGTGCTCTTATATGGGTATTGCAATTTCAGTCAGTGCCAGGAAAAAAGTAATAACTCCTCTTCAGCAGAGCTTAGGTTTTAAAAGTTAATGAGGGACACTTGAAAACTGGCAGCTTTTCAGTCTAAGGAGAATGAGACTAAATATGATGTAATGAAAAGGGAGGAAAAAAAATAGAAGACCCTTCCTTCCATTCGTCCTGCCCCCAAATACTCTTTGGATGTACGCAGTTGCAGGTGTGATGCTAGAGCAGTAGCAGGGGAAGGTCACTAATGTTCCCTGGTCTGTTTTCAAGAATCTGACAGTAAATGTGGATTTCCAAGTGGGTATGCAATGGTAGGAAAGGCAATAAAGGACACACAGGCATCTTCTTGTTTCTTATCTTCTTTTTTTTTTTTTTTTTTTTTGTCATTTCCTGGATATTTAGGAGGCACTATTTACGTACGTGGGTGTAACTTAAAATTAAAAACCCCTCTAGGCTGGAAATCAAAACCAGCAGAGTTAAATCATAAATATTGTTTAGTCACTGCTGGACTGCCTGAAAATCACAGAAGTATCATAAAGTCCAATGGGAAAGGATTAGGAATATTAGTGGGAGAATTTCTGTGGGTTATAGAAGTGTTATTGCAGAGCTTTTACCAGGGATTATGAGCATTAATCTATAGTTACATATGCAATTTACAGACCCCCTGGGAATTTTTCAGAATGTGCACATACATTGATAATAAATCACAGCCATGGGATTATTAAGAGTTGTACTTCTGGCAAGGATGCTGGAGCTTTAGGAACCCTCTTCAGAGGTTAAGGCCCTTAACTGTTTTTATCTCCATCCTCTAACACCCTTTATTCTGCGTACTCCACAGTGGGTCTCTACCTTGTCTAATGCAAACAGCAGTGTACAAGCAGGCAGGAGTGCTAGTCATGTCATATTTTAATTAAATGATTTTTCTCCTGCTATTACAGATTTTTTGCCTATTTCTGGCTCTGCAGTCCTGCATGTAGCACGTGGCTTATCCTTTCTAGAGCAAGCCATCGCACATGGGTTAGAAACAACACACGGTCCCTGGATACAATGGGACTTGGGGTAAGTGGATTAAATAGGTATTGAGATGTTGAACAGTGTTGTGTGCCTGGATTCCTCAAGTGGAATTGATGTTTCTGAACTTGGGTAGGAGCTAGAACGTGCTACAGAGCCTGGGTTGTGGCACCGACGTGGTGCTAGCCAGGGTTTGTCAGAGTAAAGCAAGCTCTGGCCGTGTTTAGCTTTCTAGTGACAAGGATGGAGAAACATCACTTGGGTGAGAACATTTATCCGTGCTTTGAGACTTCTGGATAAAAATATAACACGGGGGAAAAAAATGTTACAGGTTTAGAACCAGCCTTCACACCTTTATGCAGTACTAAACCTCATGGAGGGCATCAGTTGGTTCCTGCAGTCATTTATTTCCCCAAGGAATACCCGTACAATCTAGAAGACATTTTTATCAGAATATGTTTGCTGAAAAACTGTAAAAGTTTTCACCACAATCGTTAGAAAATGGTAGGAATTTAAAAATTTTGTCCAAGTCGTGCAAAAAACTAAGCAGCCCGTTTTCCCTTAACCTCAGCTGTCAGCCAGAACGCTTTGGCAGAACTTTTCCTTTCGCAGCAAAATGTTTCCAGAACCCAACACTTTGTTGAAAGCCAGGTTTGAAAAATGATTTTTTTCATTGAAAATTAAATTACTCTATAAGAAATTTTGACGGGAAGGTTTGATTAGTGAGTGGAGAAGTAAATGCTCCATTTTGGTTTTGTTATTTTCAGGCAACAGATCCCAGCAACTGCCCCATTTGATTTCAGTGGATTGCCTTTAGGAATGCTATTAATCAAAATCAGTTAGAAAGACATGGTTGCAAAGTGCAGTCTTGGGGCAGCTGTAGTTGTTTCACTTGTAGTCTGGATTTTACTTGCTGGTTTCAGAGTTTTCCTAGGCTTGTGATTTACCTGAAAGCGGGCTGGGAAATGTTACAAAGTGTAGTTGTGTGAACCAGTGTGTAAAACTGGTGATGGTGAGTTGATATTAAAATATTTCTTCTCTGAAACCTTATGTGCACCTTACTAAAGAGTTTATCATCCTACTTGGACGTACAAGTTGTGAAAATACAATTAAAGAGAAATAGTAATTAAATAATAATAATTTATTTATATAAAATTATTTATTTATAAAAAAGAAATAATAATTAAAATGGGATTCGCTACCCTTAGAAATGTGATGACTGGAAAAGCATGTGCAAAATCTAAAACAAAGAAAAAACACTTGTCTTCAATTGTATTCTTGCCTTTATAGAGATTAATTCACTTTCTTATTTTATTTGTTCTTACTTTACCTAGCCTGCTCCATTTCCATTTAGATCTGGCTCGTTTTGTAAGAATACATCTTGTCTTTTAAATTCCTAAGGCAAATTCATCGACAATGTTTGTCATGACCAAAGAAGAAATTAAAACCAAACATTTCCATAAAAGAGATGCTCGTTCTCTTGAGAGAAGTATCTGCAGGTGGAACAATACATATCCTGGTAATGTGTGCTATTTTTAGTTTACAATTTAGGAGCAAAAACATTTAACCACGTATGAAAAGACTGAAACCGTGCATGTTTATTGACAATTTCAAGGGTGTCTGATCTAGCCTGTGAATGGCTGTGTTTCAGCTGAACAGTGAGTGTAGGACAAATCGGGCTTCAGCACAAAGTAGGGTTGTTGGGAGAAGCCTGTGGTCCTTCAGACTGTAATTACATGGCACCTAGCAGATCTTGATTCCTTATCTAGTAAATAAAGAAAAGCATCCTGTATCAGAAAACTAATTCTTAGGGGAAGTCAGGAAGCATTGTCCTTTATAAAAGTGGGCCCAGTGTTCAGCTGTAAATCGTTATAGCTGCCTTTAAATCAATGAAGTTATGTCAGTTTATAGCAGTTGAGAATCTGTTACAACAAGGAAAAGACTTAGTAATTGCCACAGCCCTCTCGTAAAGGCTCAATGCATAACAGATATCGTGATGCTGGTAGGACTGAAGCTGGTTCTACATTTCCTATGAACTCCTCCCTGGTCTTCCTTCTCAGCCTGTAGCGTGATGTGAGCAATACAAAAACTGAGGGCTGTGCAGAGTGCCGAGCATCCTCTGGGACGTGCCCATGTGCGTGCTGCTCAGGTATTTCCAGCAGCTTTTCGAAGACTGTAGAGAGCAGTCGGCTCTGCAGTCAGCTGCCTTGGTTCGCTGCCAGATGCGCGAGTGTGCGTGGGAGCGTGGCAGGACAGCCTGACACCCATGACAATTACCAAAACTGGTTTGGGTGGCTCAATGTGCTGTAGGGAGAGGGAACTCAAGCTGGGTCTGATTCCTGCTGGGATCAGTTTACGAGGAGAAACCTCTACACACTGTGAAGAGGATTGATAGATCTGTGGCTGCAGGAGGAGTTGTAATCAGGTATGAAATAAGGACTTGGGAGTTCCCAAATCTCTTCCCCCTGAGCCATTTGGACATATATATGTACATTCCACTGTGCTCTGTTCCCTCTGCACACAAAATATGTGATATTTTTACATCTAGCCAGCAGAGTACATTGGGGAGAAAAATAATTTATTTTTAAGATGCTTTTTATGATATCCAGTACTAAGCTGCTTCCAGCTAGGCTGAGGTTTTGCGTGGCTTTCCCTCACTTTTTATTGACCTAAGCCAATTCTCCTATCACAATGTTATTATGAAGAGCCTTCTTCCTTGCTCCTTCCTGGGGATGTTCTCCTTGCAGATGACTTTTGGTGCAGCACTCCAGAATGAATGGAAGGAGCCAGTCAAGCCATGTTTTAAAGATACACAATTTTCACTGTTCTTTCAGACTTTCTTGGCAGCTTCTGGCATTCCTGTTCCTGCAGCCAGAAGACCAGCATACCAGATTTCACAACCAGTACCTCAGCAAGGCCATTCTCTGGTTGTTTAGAGCAGGCCTTCTAACAGAACAACTTTTAAAGTTGGACTAAGTTTTTATTACTTTTCTGCTATCCCTCCTTTGTAAATCATGCTAACGCTCACCTGTGCGTCTGCCACATGCACAAGGTTGTTGGACAGAATGCTGCTTTGCAAATTTTCCTAATTCCTAACTTTGTGATTGGAGAAGGTCGCTGTGGGAGTTTTCATCTGATGAAAGGTCAGTTGGGAAATGTGAGGTCTGACATTTCTGTTTTGCACAGACAGCTATAATTATCTTCATATTTTTTAGCTCCATAGTTATTGAAAACAGATTTAAGAGAAGAAAAAAGAAAGCAAAACTTTAATTCGAAACTCACTAGAAGAAAATGCAGGCTATTTTCATGAGCTTTCCAGCCAGAGTTGAGCTCTTTATGTTATTTCTGCCTATAACCTACTTGTGTCCATCTCGCTGCACGAGGCTGCCTTCTGCAAACTTAACTCCTCACTGTGATGCACCAGCCAGATGCTTAAGTGAAAGCACCAGCACATGAGCAGCTAGAGCTCCAAAATGGTGCTAAGTGACACTGGAGTGACCAAAGGGTGACAGAGAAACCAGATGCCTGCCTATGGAGATGCTGTCACTGTTAAATTCTGGTACTGGAGTATATCTATCTTGGGAGTACACATGGGTGACCTGGCAGATACTGTGTGCGGGTGCCAAAAGGCAGCAGTTTTGGGAAGGGACACGGGCAAAGCTCTACTTCTGATTACGCTCCCCCAGTGCCTTCCTCGTTGATTTCCAGCTGTCAAAAAAAAATCCTTTTGCTTGAAAAGTAAGGATATTTTTTCTCACTTCTCCCATGCACTGTTCATTGCTTCAGCGTAAGAAGCTCCAGTTCCTTTGGAAATGAGGTTGTGGATGAAAGGTCCGGGGCAAGGGGAGTAAAAAAAAAAAACTGCCTTAATTGCAGCAACCTGTCCTCACTGGGAGATTGATGTGTCAGCTTTATCTCTCAGGAAACTGGTGTCGCCACCACTCCTGAACTTGCACCGGATTTTACACTCTTGGTGTGTAAAATAAGCATAACTGCCCTCCGTACATAGCACAATCCCCTCGGCCTTACTAGGTTGTCCTCCTTCTAGGAATTATGTGGTTAAAAGGAACGGTGCTTTGTGACAGGAGGCTGCTTCATTACAGCTCTCTGTTAATTGCTGTCTCTGCTAGACTGCCTTCCCATTCCTGCTGTGTGTTTTGTTCCCAGCTAGTGCCAAACACCAAAATAGATGTTTGTCGGCTTGGCCTTTCCACATTGCACTTGGCCCGGAGTTTAAAAACACAGTAAGCCTGGTTTTCACATTCCTAGTACCTGATCAGAAGCAAGTTTTCTCCGTGTGTTAATTCATCTAAATGTCTTCAGAGTGTCTAAGTAGGTTAAATTAGTACTGATTGACTTTGTTCTGGTTCAGGTTTTCTCTGCGGTACTGGTGTGCTTTTATGCTAGGCCAGGCATTCTCTGTTGCCTTGCAGCTGGCAGGAGGCCACATAAAGCTGGCATAAACTCCATTTTGGGGGTTCTGGTTAATTTTAGAAAAACTAAACTGTGTGCCCACACCTGATCTGGATCAAACTGGGCTATTGGGTGACCTAGCGTTGGTACTTGTGTAGGAGTAATTTTGGATAGCAGTGAAGATGAACCTGGTATGTTCCAGCTGCGACTGTTGATGTTTTTTTTCCTCCCGTAAACAAGTCTGAAAATGTATTTTTCATGAGAAAAACCTCACATAGGATGAGATAGTTGCAACATTATATTTCTCTAGCATTATTTAAACAAAATATCTACAGACAAATGCTATGGTGATAGCACTGATTAAGTACTTTAAAGCCACCTCGTGCAGTTGTTCAGCCTTTGTCTCTGCAGAGTGTAATGTGTGCATTTTTTTTTTCTTTAAACAGAAGTTTTATCTCTAGGTTAAGTCCATTTGAAACTGTTTGAGGCATCGACACACAGCAACCACGGCAGGAGGGGTCATCTCTGGCACAATCAATGGGTTTGGACTAGGATCCTTGGGAGAAATCACAGCCTGGCACCCTTCCAGCCCTCCCTGCTCTGCTCAGCTTCAGGTTTTAAGACCTTTATCCTGA